CCAAAGGAGGGTCGCAAACCCCATCTTCATGCACGAGTCTGCCACAATCAAAACAGAAGTGTGGAACCTTCTCATAGTGAAAGTCAAACCACATTTTTTCATCATCCTCCTTCCTCCTCCTTAAATAGAAGCCTCTAATCAGCGGCTCAACCACTGAAATTTTTGCTCACACTCTCAAGCTATGTCCTCGTGCAAGTCCATCTTTATCTACATCCACTCTGACGATCTCCCCAAGCCAATTCCCCAAAGCTCTGCCGAACTCCTCCGTCCTCTTGTCCGGTGGTAGATCAGTGACTCTCACCCATACGTCAATGAATTCAAACACCATCTCTGACGGACGTTTGCCTCCCTCGTACTCCTTCATGATGAGAACACTAAAATCAAATTTCCAAGGGCCATTATGCATCACATGCCGAAAATCTCCCTCTGACCGAAAGTGAACCTCAAAAATATTAGGGCCAATCTCAGCAAACTTGGTCTCCTCAAAAAGAGGAGACTTGAGTCTTCGTATATGACGTGGAGGCAGGCAAATCAATAAGCGATACATATCCATTGAAGTACTAATTGCATAGGAAATTGGCATAAAAGCAATTGCTAGCATCGAGGAATTGAGCCAGGAGTTGCTTCACGTGAAGACCAGAAGATTTTTGTTTTTGGTTGGAATTTGCTATTAGTGCACGAGGGTGTACCACGTCAGGTTTTGCTTGTGTACTTGGGCATCACATGAGGAAAGCTCGGATAATTTTTTCACAGGGTCAGCCATACGAAGAACCGTGACGCTATCGGGTACCAGGTTTGAGGTGGATAAGTTCAACGATACTGAAAACGTTGAGTTATGGCAGACAAGGGTGAAACATTTATTGGCACAACAGGGATGCTTGAAGGCGTTGCGGTAAGTCATGTCAACTGTGATGGAATTATCATGTGATGGATGGAAATTCGTGAAGACGATTTGGGAGCCTTGAGCGTGTCATGCAGTCGAATAAGTTCGGCTGGGTCAGACTAGACAGTCTGGCGGATCGACGAGAGTCATTTGGAACAGAAGACGGTGATGGGATCGACGACAGCGACATAGGAGTGTGATGCTGATGGTGACCGACTTCCGGGGCGTGGAAACACGTGACACAGGCCCAAAGGGCTTGTGTGGCTTCGACAAGACTATGACGCGGGGTTGATTCAAGACGGTGCACATGAGAGCTTGGAGTTGACGACGCGCGGGGTGGCAAGTACAACCAACATGGAGTCATGTTGAAGGTGGAGCTGGATTGAGGGGCTACAATGTAAGGATCCAGGGAATCGAAGCCTATTCAGCAAGGGGAAAAAGCGAGTGACACGTAGTTCGGACTGGAGCTCAGTGGTCTGATGGAAGCATGAAACTCGTCATCGGTCGGTGATGATTGGTGGTACTCTGCAGTGGAGGTTGAGTGGTGTGGGTTCACGGCCCTTGAGACTCGACCAGAACAGCGGAGGCTCGACGTAGTAATAGCGGCGAGGCGTGCGGTATGCACGGGACATGGAGACGAGACAGGGCTCTGGTGGTCATACATGTGGTGAGACAACTGCGAATTTGACTCGGGATGACTACAAGCAACGGTGAAATTCCTTCAAGTTTCAGACAGGCGGTCAAGAAAGGAGCGGTGATGTTGAGTTCAGGTAACTCTTATGTGTGACACCCAATATGTGAGTTGTTCACTTTCACGCAGGTCAGTGATCGGTGTGTGATGGCATTGAATGGATACTCTGAAAGTTGGGAGCATAAACTAGAGTAACAAGAAACTTAAATTTTCCTTGAGTGTTGACTGTGGTCAAGAAAAAAATGGACTACAAGTTGCAGGTGGAGTCATATAGAGTCTTTGGAGTAGTAGCAATACTCATGGGATAAGCTCAAGTCCAATGTACATGGAAGTTTGACGCATTGATGAATTCAAGGTGGTGAAGAATTTCACCAAGGTGGAGTTTGTTAGAATTGTGTCGAATATTGTGTACAAGATAGGTTACAGTTGGACTCTGAGTAGTATTGTGTTTACATAGGATATGGAGTCGTGTCCTAATAGGACACTTGTATCCTATGCCTCTCATATATATAACGGGGGTAGACACATGATGTAACCTATGCCAACATAATAGCACCGGAACGCAGGGGAAGCCGGCGGCATGTGCCGGTGTCCAGGCCGACCGGTTGCGGTATTGTAGCGGTGTCATGGGAAGGAGCGCCTATAGTCAAGCCCCGGGGATGTAGCCATATCGGTAAACCTCGTTAACAAATTTCAGTGTCGTGCTCGGTTGATTGCTTGGTCGTCAGATGATCGACGATATGCCTCGGATTTATTCTAACAGCTGCGACTAAGAGCATGCAAGTGGCAAGCTTCCAGTCCACCCTCAAGTGACTTTTATAGGACTCCTAAAGAAGTACTCCTCAATTAGTTGCTCTCCTGTAAATGTCATGAAGTTCAAATGAACCAAACTAGCGTGCAAAAAAAATTAAACCAAACTAACTCATAAAGGCATCTTCAAGGGTGGACAATAAATCGCTTCTAAATGTTCAGATCGGATGGTCCGGACACTTTTAACCATCACATCAAATGTCGGTGTAGCAGTTTGCCTATCCGAATTACAGTAAATCGACCCTGCAAATAAAAAGAATTACACTAGCGAACGTCAAAGTGCTTTGGAAGAGTTCGGACACACTACGAACAAGCCTCAGATCCATCAGAACCGCACTTTTCCTCTTCCTCCTTTTTCTCATCTCTCTTCATTGGACAAGGGTGGACCTTTGGTGCACCAGCCCCTCTATTCACTATCGGCGGACACTTCTGGACAGGCTGGACTCTCTTTTTTATGTAGGCTGTTTTTTTGAATGCAGTACAAACGCAAGCGTTTATACATACATGCATACACTCATCCCTATGAATGTACATACGCACGTCTTACCCCTATGAGCATCTCCGAGAGACTGAGCCGGCATATCATCTTGAGATTTATGAAGTCATCATATGCGCCTCGTCGTCGACGGGAACGTCCTGAAATAAATTAAGAAATAACGCGAGCACCAGGACTTAAACTCTGAAATCCTGAAATAAATCCTGAAATAATGCGAGCATCAGAACTCTCTGATGGGCTGAGGATACCAATATCACTCTAATCATCCAACCAAAGCTTGGTTCGCTTTAGTAGGCCGTTGGAGATGCCTAAGTCATGCATATGTATTTTCCTGAGCGTCAGTCTGTGTGCAGTCACGCAGTGTAACAAGCTTACACACGCACAATACAGACCCTCACTTAAACAGCCAAATGCATATGTCCAGTGAATCAGTGATGAGGGCGACAAAGTGAGGACAGACATAGCCAAATTGATGGAAGCAACGAGTGGCACTCGGCACGCAAGTTGTGTGATACGTGGAGAGCCGAGAGCCCAACACGGAACCAGGGACAGGGGGCGTGCACTCACGCTCATGCAGAGCTTGTGCTGCCTGTGTGCCACAACTGTGCGCCCACTCCGAGCCTGGAGTCCTCACCGCTGCTCCGGCGTTCCGGCCTATAAAAACGTGGCCCTCGTCCCCTCCGCTAGCAAAGGCAAAGGCTTCTTCCACATTTCCACTGAGCAAAGAGAAGCAAATCGGCAGAGAGCGAAGCAAACCGGCCGGCGGTTCCTGGCCCCTCGCCATGGCCGGCAAAGCTAGGGTGTTCATGTGCGTGGCGCTCGTCGTCCTCCTGCTCCTTGTCGAGGTGATTACCTGATCCATGGCGTTAGGTTCTTCCAGAGCACATGCATGCTATGTTTGGTTGCCTAGCTAAACTCGGTTCCTATTCATTTTTGTCTTCCGCAGACCACCGCCCCGAGTGGACAAGCTCACGCCGTCGGTAAGCCCACGCACGCATTCATGGGTGACTCATTTGCTAGTCAGACTTGATCGACGGGCATGCATGCGCCAGACTGATATATACGTATCCTTCTATACGCTGATTTGCAGATTGCGGCGGCGCGTGCTCGTACCGGTGCAGCAAGTCGAGTCGACCGAATCTGTGCAACAGGGCGTGCAACACGTGCTGCCGGCGATGCAACTGCGTGCCGCCCGGCACCGCCGGCAACAAGGACGTCTGCCCCTGCTACGCCCACATGACCACGCACGACGGCCGCCACAAGTGCCCATGATACAACCGCCATCTCCACGGTCAATCAAGACTACTACATAGTCGATCGTCATGGCCTCTCAATTAATATCACATCTACGATCAGCGACAGCTAGACTACCAGAGGCACGATCGATATGATACATGTACTACTCAAGCTAGTGCTGCTACCTATGTACCTTGTGCTCATCCATACGTGATCGACCCATCGTGTAAGCATGTTTGCTATCTCATTCTCACGCAGTGGTAATTGCGTCGATTGCACTAAAACAATTAGTGCGTGTGTTATTGGATTCATGCTTCAATCAACTCATCCAAAAGTCTGAACTATTGGAAAGAGACGGACAATATATTGCAACACTCTCCCTCATGTCTAGGCTTATTTACTCATTAGATGTGAGATTTATTTAGGCCGTAGAATCGTTTTTTAGTACTATGTTGGCAAGATTTTGAACACAAGACTTCCTGACTGTAGTACCATATTAAATTAATGCTCCAGTCAACTTATCCAAAAGTCTGAACTGATAAAAAAAGGCAGAAATATATTTCAATACATGTTCATATGTGCACATGTGTATGCATGCGTGTCCGTGCTCAAGCTTACATGAACTAATTAAGGCCAAGTGGCAACAAGGGAACAAATGTAGTGATGTGCTCATAGTCCTCGTCAAGCCCTTTGAGGGTGTTGTGGACGAGTTGTTCGTCGGTGACGGGGGGCGTCCACCACCGTCTTCTGCTTGTGGCAGTAGTCGGTAATAGAGCAGTCGCCATGCTGGAGGTTGCAGAATTCTTTGCCAAGGTATATGGTGTGTGCCTTTTGGTAGTCGTGAGAGAGGGCGATGATGCTCGTCCAGACCGCTATAGTCTCCCCTTCCATCACCAAGTCGAGGATGTCGAAGGAGATGGAGCCTTACAGGCGGTGAAGGACGATGGCGTCGAGGCGGAGCCGTTCTTCGTCATTGGCGGGAGGGACCTCCATGTCGGGATGATCCACGAGCTTGTACTAGGTGATGACAATGCGGAAGAACGTGCGCCACTTGGTGAAGTTTGTTGTGGTGAGCTCGAGGGCGACCGGTATGATGGACTTGAAGTTCTGGATTGCTTGGGATTGAGCCTAGAGTGAGGCGAGCGGGTTGGGAGCCAGCGGCGGAGCTATGTTGCTTCCTGCAGGTGCCATGGCCCCCCAACCTTAATAAAAATACACATGGATTTGTTTTGAGAGGGGCTAGATTAAGATAATATAATTTTCTGGCCCCTCCAAACATCATTATACCCCCC